TTTTTTTTTGTTGTTGTTTTGGTTTAGGGATCTTTTAGCCGCTGCAAAAACAGGCAGTGGCAAGACCCTTGCCTTTCTCATCCCTGTGATTGAACTGATTGTTAAGTTAAAATTCATGCCCAGGAATGGTAAGTTTCTGGTCTTTTTCTGTCATTGATTGTATCACTTGAAATTTATTGTGGCGTGTAGGGACTTATGATTTGATTGACCATCTTAGCAATTTTTTTGCCTTTAGGAACAGGGGCTCTCATTCTGTCACCTACTAGAGAACTGGCCATGCAGACTTTTGGTGTTCTTAAGGAGCTGATGACTCACCATGTTCATACCTATGGGTTGATCATGGGTGGCAGTAACAGGTCTGCTGAAGCACAGAAACTTGCTAATGGAATCAACATCATTGTGGCCACACCAGGCCGCCTCCTGGACCATATGCAAGTAGGATGCTGTTACCTAGTGCTTCTTGGGACCTTGTATAAAACAGACTTGACTACTGACAAATTTTCTTTCCGTTTGTTTTGTTAGAATACGCCAGGGTTTATGTATAAAAACCTACAGTGTCTTGTTATTGATGAGGCAGATCGCATTTTGGATGTTGGCTTTGAAGAAGAATTAAAGCAAATCATTAAACTTCTGCCGAGTAAGTAGATAGCATCTGTGTGTAGCTTGCAAAGTAGAGTAAGTGATAGATGTTCCTATAGGAAAACATGTTAATATCAGGACTTGACTGTGGCCAAATGAAATAGGTGTGCCAGCTCCCTCCTCTGCCATCTTACCCACCTACCTTATCTAACGTCTCCCAGGCGGCCAGTTTCATCTCCTTCTCTGTTATTTGATTTGCACTTACCTCCATAGTCTTGCCACATTCTAAACTGTTTATATCTGTAGTAAAGCCAATATGCCATTCATTACATGATTGTATGTCCTGAGGCTATATAGAATTATAATTGGCATAGTAAGCCATACCTATTTAAAATACAATTCTTTACACTGTTTGGCACGTTTACCCCTTGGAAACCATCAGTGCAATCAAAACCGTGAATGTGTCCCTCACCCTCAGAATTTTCCTTTTGTCCCTACGCAGTTACTCCCTGCTTCCCCTCCTCACACGTCGCTTCTCCCGGGAGACTGGATCTGTTTACTGTAACTGTACACCATCTGGCATACATCTTGGCTGTCAAATTTTTAGACATAAAGTTTACCCTTTATAATATTGGTATAGCCCTTAGTAATTGTGTTTGTAATTGTGAACTAATTATAAAGATTCCCTGGAAAATTGGGCTTAGTTTTATGTATGTCTGTTTCAGTACGCAGACAGACCATGCTCTTTTCTGCCACGCAAACTCGAAAAGTTGAAGACCTAGCAAGGATTTCTTTAAAAAAGGAGCCATTATATGTTGGTGTGGATGATGACAAAACTAATGCCACGGTGGATGGTCTTGAGCAGGTACTTTTTAAAATAAGTAACCTGAAACTTGATGTTTCCTTGTAATTGTTCAGAAATCACCCAAAAAGCAAATGAGCTCATGAACTTGAAATTCAAGCAAAAGTCGGATACTGGGTCTCTGACTCTCTCTCTGAATAATTTGGTCAGCTCTCTGTTCTGTTGATACTGCTCATCATATGGGGAATTATTAATCACTGAAGTTTAAGTGCAGTAAAAGCGGTTCTCATAGCTTCTGTGAAATTCAGGATGAGTTGAGTAATGGAAAGACACTTTACTGTGAATAGTAAAAGAGAGGTGACCCATGCAAATCAGATTGATAAAAGTAAGAACTTAGAAATTTTCAACTGGTTTGTTTTTAAGTGCTATAAGAAGGGCTGGGATATAGCTCAGTTTTAGAGCACTTGCCTAACAGGCAAGGGCCTGGATTCCATCTCCAGCATAATAAATAATCTACATGCGTGCTGTAGGAAAGGCCTCATGGTTTATGGCTGTTTTTGTCAGTGCTCTCCCTCAGTGTTATTTTGTGAAACTGAAAATGTCACTAGACTGACTATATCTGTTTACCCAAACCATTTTTAGGGATATGTTGTTTGTCCCTCTGAAAAGAGATTCCTTCTGCTCTTTACATTCCTTAAGAAGAACCGAAAGAAGAAACTCATGGTCTTCTTTTCATCCTGTATGTCTGTGAAATACCACTATGAGTTGCTGAACTACATTGATTTGCCTGTCTTGGCCATTCATGTAAGTAATTGTGACGAGCTTAACAGTATGTTAAGCATATAGGTTCTGTAGATTGTGGATTGGAGTTGTTGCTTTCTTGTAAGTGTAGTTGAGTTGTTGGCTCACGTTTGGGTAGTCAGTGCTGTGGAGAAGAGCTCTGCTGCGTGTGGTGGGATGTGACGTGCAGAGGAGTAGGACACCACCTTCCTCCGGGGGCTGTTAGTCTAGTTGGGGACATAAGACTAGGCCAGGGAGTGAGCTTGAATAAAGGGGAGTAACAAGTCTACAGTTGGGGGGATACACATCCAGATGTCCCAAAAACAACTCAAAGTGGATTTTTTTTCTCCCCCTTCAGGGAAAGCAGAAGCAAAATAAGCGTACAACGACATTCTTCCAGTTCTGCAATGCAGATTCAGGGATATTGTTGTGTACTGATGTGGCAGCGAGAGGGTTGGATATTCCTGAGGTTGATTGGATCGTTCAGTATGATCCTCCAGATGACCCTAAGGTAACTGGCATCTAGGGATGTCATCGGAATGGTGGTGTGAAAGAATGAACTTACTGACTAGGTTCCTTTAAAAATATGTTCATAAAGATTGACCTTTCTCCACCTCCTGCCTGCCTTGGAAGCACAAGATCCCAAGTTCGATCCCTGGTACCAAAAAAATAAAAAATAAAAAAGATTAACCCTTCTATGCAGCCAGTCTGCAGAACTACTCAAGTTCGTTGACTAGGGCATTGCAAGCTCAGCAGGGATGTGCAGTGAGTTTGAGAAGCATCAGTGGGTCTCGTGTGAAGACTGTTAGAGTCTTGGAGTGGTATGTCCAGAACAACAGATGTCTGAAGGAATTAACTCCAGCTTAAGAAGATAGATAAAATACTGTAATATTTGTGGTAGAATAAGCTTCATTAGCAGCTGTTTTCAGCAAGCAGTGGGTATAATAAATTGACTTTTTAAAGCCATTTTGTAGATTAATTGCACTTAGTACTCATTAGGTCACGGTGCTAATGTGAACATGGTGCGCAGGCTTTTATAGCCTTGGTCATTGACCTGTTACCACTTAGGGATGGTGTTGGCAGAGGGAATCCCAGCCTGACCCTGTAGAGGACCTGGTGAAGGTGAGTGCGTCCTTCCTTTAGGAAGACGTGCCCTCCACACAGATGTGCTGCCTGCCTGTGCCTCGAGGGCACATGGGTAATGTAGCCGTGGTGATAGCAGGCTGCTGTGGAATTCGGTCCCTTAACTTGGGTTTTCTTTCTCCACCAAAGGAGTATATTCATCGTGTGGGTAGGACAGCCAGAGGCCTGAACGGAAGGGGGCACGCCTTACTCATTTTGCGCCCAGAAGAGTTGGGTTTCCTTCGTTACTTGAAGCAATCCAAGGTAAAGACATTTACACGTGGAATCTTAGGTTGGGACAACATTCCTCTTGGTGCAGGAGTTTTTCTAATTTAAGAATTTTTATTTCTGAAATTATCCATCTAATATTTTTGGACCTCAGGTTACTTAAATCACAGAAAACAAAATTGCAGATAGAATGACCAGACACCAGCTTTCAACGAGAGAGCATTGCAAGCAATGAATACACAGGAGAGAATAACAGCAAACAGTTACTTAGTATGAATTTTGTGCTGGGCACTCTTTCAAGTGTTTTGTCTAAATTAACCCTCTCAACCAGCCTATGAATCATAGCCATTGTGTTTTTGGAAGTTGTCCAAAGTTACACAGCTAATAAGAACTCAGGCCAGAATGTGAACCTACGGAATCAGGCTGTGCCATATCTAGATGTATCAGCAGAATCTGGAGTCAAGGCATTGTTGTTAAAAGTCATGTCACAGGCAAACAAGATTTCCATGTTTCGTGCCGAGCCATCTGGCTGATCAGTGCTCTGAGTCCTGGTTTCTCCTCCCCTGTTCCCTGTATCCCTGTTTCAACCTCCTCCACTCCCTGGCTTCCTTTTTTGCCTCTTACCATCTCCTCTGCATCTCCTGGTAACTTTGTTTCTTGCCTTATATAGTGGAATCCCCTTCACTCCTGCTTCTGACACCTCATTTACTTCCATTTGTCCCTTTTTCAGTCAAATTCTGCTATTAACTCTCCCTTGTACGTAGCGCTTAACCATCTCATCTCCCTGTAGAGTGACTTCAGCCTTCAACCCATTCTCCTGCCTCTTCCTCCAGGATGGCTACTGCCTCCTGCCTTTCCCTAATCTGCCTTTTTGGGAAAGTTGGTTTTTATTTTTCCACTTACCTTCCACTCAGTCTTGAACTTAATCTGGCTTTGGCCTGATTCCTTCCTACAAGCACAGAAGAGTGAAAGCCTTAAGTGGTTCTTTGTTGCTGACCATGTGGGTGAGTGTCAGTCCTTCTCGTCTATGACACTTAGCTCCTCAGCCTTCCTGACACAGTCTTGCTACAGGGTTTCCTTTACCCTATAACTCAGTGCAGTTCTCTGAAATTTCCCTACAGCCTTGGCACGGTCTAGAAGCTATTTTTCAGCTTCTCCTGAATATTCTTTTTCAGCCAGCTGCTCTTGCTTCTGTGAAGCCATCTCTGATTTCCTGCCCGCTGTGTCCCTTTGTTGCACATGCTCTGAGTTGTTCTATCATTCTTCTGAGTTCTCAAGACTGCAAGCAGGCTCTCTGGGTAGGGTCCAGGACTCTGATACTTACTTTTTTTTCCCTAGTATCTAGCACAGATCTCTTGCTTTTCTATTTATTTACTAACTGATGAGTGACAGCCATAAAGAATCAGAAACTAGAGACATTTGTAGCTAAATAGATGCACATTGAGGCAATACTCTTAAGTGAAATAAGTAAGACACATGAGTAAATACTGAATAGTTTCTCTGATGTGAAAAACTAAAAATGTAAGGTTCAAATGGTATCACTGATAGTGTGAAATAGAAAAGAAATGGCTAAAGGGGAAGTAGGAAGGGGAGGGGAAAGGAAATAAAGGAAAACATGGAAACAAAGTCTTTGTAAATAGGGAAGGCTGAAGAGTGTGCAGGGGTGTGTGTAGGGAAAAAATTAGAACCAAGACATCGTGTAAAGGTACAAGATTCCAATGATAAGTAACTGTACTGTTTGCTTTAAAGGTACCAATCAACTTAATGGGGAAAAAATAACTGCTGGCTGAGGGCAGATTATTCTTGTAGGAGTTTGTGGTCATCATGGCCTCTGGTGTCGAGCACCACCCATAGAGGGCAGGCTAGTGTTAAGGGCCCTTTTCTGACATGGAGAAAGAGGGCCAGTGGTCCTAACCAGAAGCTTTAGGCTGCTTCATTGGTCCAAATCTGGACCAGAGAGATCACCATAGAGAAGTAGTTCACTAATTCATTGTCCCTGTGTGGTTCCTCATCTTAACTTACTAGGAAGGAGGTGAGGGCTCCTTTGCATGATTCACGTGAACTTAGTAGAACAGAGCTGTAAGTCTTCTTGACATGGGGAGACTGGAGAAAGTAGATTTTGCTACCTACCCTGAGGGAATTCCACAGACTTGGGCATCCCTTTCTGTCTTTCGGAGATGCTGAACTACATTAAAACCCCTGCAGCCTGGCTCCACTCAACTTCCCTCACTAGTTACAAGACATTTTTCACTTTTTTCATTCATCTGAAAATCTGAATGTAAATCATCCTGGTTTATTAATCTTTATTCTTTTGTTGTTTTCTAGGTTCCATTAAGTGAATTTGACTTTTCCTGGTCTAAAATTTCTGACATTCAGTCTCAGGTACACCCCATCCCCTCAGGCCCTTTTTGTGTTATGTTACTGTGTACCAGTGGGAGGTGCTGTCATTTTAAGTCTGCCCTTTGGTGAGCTGGGTCCCAGGCTGTGTAATCGTTAAGGTTTCTTGTTGTGCTCTCTTCCTTCTATAAGTCCAGACCTGTGAGAACTTGGGCACTGTTTTTACCACAGCATCCTTCTGCAGCTAATCCAAAGCCTGGAGCACATGTTTTACAGCCACGATTTTTGCAGGATAAATTTTTCTGATGTTTGAGGTCTGCATTTTTATTTTATTAAAACTAATGTTTATCCAGGTGTAGCATCGACCATATGCAGTCCTAACACTCTGGAAGACTGAAGCTGGAGCATAAATGCAGTCTTCAGAGACTGAAGCTTGGCAGTACGATAACTTAGCAAGGCCTTGTTTTAAAATTAAAAAACGAAAATGGGCTGGGGATGGTAGCTCAGTGTGAAGGCTGCCCTGGGTTCAAAGGTACAATGTTTCTTTCTATTTCAGCTTGAAAAATTGATTGAAAAGAACTATTTTCTTCATAAATCGGCCCAAGAAGCATACAAGTCATACATACGAGCATATGACTCCCATTCTCTGAAGCAGATCTTTGATGTTAATAACCTAAATTTGCCCCAGGTTGCTCTGTCATTTGGTTTCAAGGTGCCTCCTTTTGTTGATCTGAGTATCCTTTTTATTGTTACTAAGTCAATTTGCAACCAAGGAAGAAAAGCTCATGGGGGACATTTTGGACTTAACAGCATGTTGATATTTTCTCTGGCAGGCAACCAGAGGCTTGTGTTTATCCTGCATGGACCACAGAGGTAATGGGGGGTAGATTGTCAGGATGGAGGCTACACGGACAAAACAGCTTGTGACTAAAGCCTTAAAAGAGAGAAAGGAATGTGACTGTTAGTGAGACATAGAGGTAAACTTTTCATTCATAGCAGAACAGGTGAGCAAGAGCTCAGGTGGTCACTGAGGCTGCACTGTACCAGGTATTTGAAGGAATGGCTAAAGACAAAGGATAGGATCTTTCAGAGTAAAAAGCCCCTTAGAGCCATTAGAATTGTATACAGACACTCCTTGTTTAATGACTGAACTCTGGTCCCAAGTCTGGATCTTTAACTGAATTAGTCACTAAGTGAGGAAATCCAAGGTAGTGTGTACATTGCAATATTCAGAAGAAAGCATGAAAGGAAACTCCAACTTGATGGCTTTGCTTTTATTCTCATAATTCTTACATACAGTACTGAAATGTATAACAACATAAAACTGCAGTGGTACTGTATAGTGCAGTCAACATAAAATTACAGTACTATATAAATAGTACAAAAGACATTGGAGATCTATAAACAAGATGTACAGGCTCATCCAAAAACAGACAGGTTGTAAGTCCGAACAGTCATTAAATGAGTAACTACAAGCAGTGTCACATTTGGCAAAAGAAAATAAAACTTAGGTGATGCTAAAGATAAAAGGCGAAGGAAGTAATGCCGTTTGATTTTGTTGCAGTTTATAATGTGTTTATTACTGCATTATCAGTGGAAGCAGACCGCTAAGACAAGACCCTTTTTTTTTTTTTTTGTATTGGGAATCGAACTCGGGTTCTTTCACTTGTGAAGCAGGTGGTGGAACCACTGAGCTAAATCCCTGGCCTAAGAGACCCATTCTTAATGCTGCCTCCCAAGGGGACAGAACCACGTTTCAGGTCGCCATCTCCGTTGTAGACATTGAGTAAATGTTTACTGTGGTGAAGACTTGCTGCCTTGTGACAGGAACCACCTTCATCTGGCTGACCATTCCTGAGGCCACTGCACACAGTAGAAGAAGTCCCTTGTAACACTGAGGGTGCTTTTTAGTGTTTAGTGTGTTCTTACTTCTTCTTTCAAATTTTGTTGTGTGGAGGAAAACATTAATGTGATTATCATGTTCAGCTTTAAAATCAAATTTGAGTCCATAAGCGCCTGGCCACTCCTGGTTCGCCACACAGGTTTGTATCCTCACATTTCCATTTTTCAGGGAAGAGTGCATTAGAGGGTTAGGGCGGCTATGCCTGGTGGTTTTTCTCTTTGTAGATGCCAGGTTGCAGTGCCTGGCCTTGATTGGTTGATTTCCTTAACATCCACCCGAAGATGTGAACAGCAGTGAAGGCAAGCACAAAAAGAGAGGAGGTGGTGGCGGATTTGGCTACCAGAAAAGCAAGAAAGTTGAGAAGTCCAAAATTTTTAAACACATTAGCAAGAAATCATCAGACAGAAGGCAGTTCTCTCACTGAAAACAAATTCCTTTGATCTTGACTAACTCCTAAAATGAATTTTTTTTCTTTACAAAGAAGTTTTTGTAGCCTTTCAAGTTTTTCTCATCTTTGCTGTGATGATAACAATTTTTTATTATAAATCTCCTTGCAAAAATTTTTGTTACTGTTTTACAGTATAATTCTTCTTTTTGTACCTTTCCTTTATGCTATATGAAGATTTTGTGACATTCATTGCTAGTCAACACTATGCAGAGTGACTTGGTGTACTGGACAGGTGGTGGCGCAGCAGAAGAAAGTCTAGGTTTACTTTTTGGTTTTGTGTCTTGGACCTCAAGAGTGGCTTGGAGCAATCCCTGAAAATGCTGCACTTCGAAAGGGCAGAGCATTTTGAGAGATACCCAAGAAGCAGCTGTAGGTAAAAGGTATTATTTTGATGCTCATGGCTTTACAACAGCAAGCTTTCCTTAAATAAATAATCATGCTTTATAGGTTTATTTCAAGGTGTTTTGGATTTTGGTAAAACCTTCCAACCCTACAGCATACTTAAAAGACAAGGGCAATTATCAGTAGACTTAAAACCAAGTCTGAGATGACCTAAATTAATCTGTAATTTAACATGGCTGCTCCTCACGGGGCAGGATCTGTAAAAGAAAAGAATTCTTGGCTGCTTAAGGAAATGAAGTGACACTGCGTTACTCAAAAGTAAGAGGAGCACCTTTTATCTAGCCACAGTAATGTGTGAACAGGCAATTTAAAACTGCTGTTGCTCTCCTTTGAGAAAAATCAAGTTTCATTATAGTGCTGATTTTAAGTTTCATTTTGAGGCTTTTTTTTTTTTAACCATCTTCTTTTAAGAGACTTTTAGAAGTAACATTCTGTATGTACATATGTACATGCACACATCTCTGTAGTTTGGGTTCATTTCTATAGTGTTTTATAAAAATTTAAAGTTTGAGTATTAGTTTATATTTTTTTAAAAGTCTGAGACAGTGCTCACTGTGCACTGTTAGATTCTTTGTTCGGAAAAAAATCCTTCTAGTCCATGAAACAAAAGTACACGTATAGTGAAAATTGAAATGAATGGAGAGTGGAAAACACAGGGATGTGTTTTGTGGTAGGGCCACTTGATTTGTTTTTGTGTGGTATATAACTACAAAATAGCAAAATTTAGTAGCAGTTCAAGCTGCTGCCATGCCACTTAAATTTGATAGAGTCCCATTATGTGTAATTATGCAGAGGACATCAAGTGTAGAGAAAGGAGTTGGGGTAAAGAGTAGAGACCGCCTCTGCCTGACCGTGGCTGTCCTGGCTGGGCCTCTGGATTTTAGACCTTGACTGCTGAACATCTGACTTGGCTTCTTGGATTCCTAACTCTTGGCATAAAATGTTTCTTCAGTACTGTTTGTTTCAAAAACAGTTGGGTTTCAAAAAATACACAAAAGCAAATATTTTGGTATGTGACCTTGGTATGTGGTTTTATATGTTTATTTATGCTTTGTAATTTTTTATCACAAGCGAAGTCATCCTCTGCCTACTGCTTACAGCCAGCTTGACCATTTCATGTTATTTCCTGTGTCATTAATTACCCCTGTCATTATATATTTCATTTATGACTGTGCTTTGTTAATCCTTGCTTGGTCTGCTAGGTTTGGGCTTCTCGAATATCTGCTTGAACCCTTGTGATTCTGTCTCAGCATATTTAATGCCCTTCTTTGTCTTGCCTTTGTCAATCCCCAGTATGAGTCAGCCTCCAAAGGTTTTATGAGAAAAGTGTTCTGTGGACTGTTGGGGAGGCAGAAGGTTCCAGGCTAAGGACATCCAGACAGACACACCTTGGTTGCCAGGCCAGGATGTAGATGTGGGGGAGCCTTTACTAGACTCTTACAGGTCAGACTGGAGCATCTGCAAGATTCATTGCACATGAGGGGTTCTTTGAGTTCCTGTGCTAAGAGCACAGCTGGTAGCAGATGTGAGCAGGTGAGATTTGAATAGTGAGATTAAGTGGCTTCATCCATTAAGGTTAGAAGGCAGCAAGGCAAGGTCCCAAGCAGATCACTTTGTGCAAATAGAGGTCCTAAGGTTGTCTGGTTAGCAAGCAATGACTAATCATTGCTATATGTAAAATGTTTCAGTCTTACCCAGTTTAGTATAAATAAAGCTGGACTTCACATATCCCAAAAGGGCCTTGTTCATTGATAAATTAAGGCTTACAGTGTATGCTGAAGCACCATTCCTAGGTCAAATTCTAGCTGTGCTACTTACCAACTTCTCTAGGCTGTTTCATGAGTGAAAGGAAAGCAGTAATGTATACTTCGTGAGATGGAGGGAAAATGAGCTAACACGGAGCTTGGAGGATATTGCTTATACAGTGCTCTATACATTGCTGTCTACGTGATGTGAAAAGTTCGCCACCAAAAGCGTCAGGGATAGGAACTCATCCCACGTCCTGAGCCAATAAAAGATTTCTGGCAGCCTGGTTCTCCTAAAGTGGCTGACACTTCTAAGGCTACTGTAATAAAATTAGGTGGAGGCAACAACATTGTGCCCTTAGATAAATATCCCTAATTCATCAAGAATTGGGAGCTCATTGAAACTACCGAGGACACAGGCCAATATGTGCAGGTCTTTAGAAGGCTGCTTGCACTGTAGAGGTCGTCAGAATATTGTCTCAAATAATGTGAAATTCCAGCTATTTCTGAACTTGAAAATCCAGCATCTTTTTCTTTTTATGGGACGGGTAATTGAACCCAGGGTCTTTGCATTGAGCTAGTATATCCCCTACCCTCTTTATTTTGAGACATGGTCTCTGTAAGTTGCTAAGTTCCCTAGGCAGGGCTCAAACTTGAGATCCTCTTGCCTCGGCCACTCAGAGTGCATCACTGTTCCTGACCCTACATCTTGAGTTTCTGTGGACAGATTTCCTTGCCCTGTCCCAGGGAGATTGTCTAGGCCTCTGGTGGAGCAGTGAATCTCTAGGGATTGTCATGCACAGTTAGTTTGGAATAAAACCAGTCTGGAATCCATTCATACACAGTCTCTTACTAAGCTTGTACTGCTCTGATCTTGCAAAGTGACTGCCCAACACAGGAAGGAACGTAAAATCATCCACAGGTAGAGTGGCACTCTGGATATACATTCCTGGACCCTGCAAAGGGAAGTGCTGTGCTTTTGTTTGAAAGTCTTACTAGGAAGAAGGGAGCCTTAGGTAGCCTTTACCAATGGCACCCTCCTTCCTTAGCCAAAGTCTGATGTCTCAGTGTTCTGTGAATCACTGCTGTTTGTTGTCAGCATAGAAGATGAAACCAATGTGCCTTGGCCACATGTCCTTGAAAAGAGCTGTTCTCCCCTGTGGGATTTAGCCTCTGCATCTGTAATTTTGTACACTTGGGTTTGAAGGGCTGTGTGTCATGTAGCTTTCCTGTTTGAAGGCCATTGTATCACTCAAGTGCATTGTGGAGATAACTTAGGGAGTGTCTCACCAACAGCCAGGACAGCCTGTGACCTGGAGGGTTTGAGTCATGGGGTGACACCTACTTGGAGCCCTGAATGAAATACTAATAAAATGAAGGAGGGTTGACGGTAGCGGTGATGTTTTCCTCCACCAGATCCCAGAGACATGGGGAACACGTGGCTGTGGCTGTGGCATCTTAAAGCCAGCTCATGGGGCACGACGGGCTGTGCTCCTGCCCCTTATGTACCCTCCGTCCTCCCTGCTTGTTCTTATTGGTTCTCTGCAGCCATTTAATGTTTTCAGTTAAACTTTTCTCTATTTAAATCACAGTGGCCTTTCGTTGCTCATAACTAAACCTAGAGATGTAACTTATAAGATTTGTTTTCTTTTTCTACCCCTTTGTAAAATAACCACTTTGTTTGCTACCATTCCTACTCTCCTTTCCCAGAGCCTCCTTGCTCCTGAGCTTAGGGAAAGTGGTGGATTTCGAGCCAGGCTAGAACTTGAATCAGCGCCAGGGTGGGAAACCTACGGCACGTGTATTACTGTGTTTTCCTAGACAAAAGATGTTAATGTTTTTCTAAACCCAAACCTCATTCAGGTTTAACTTCAGTATTGGAACTTTATGATAAGTGAATTTTGGGTTTCACTTTGAGCATTTGTCTCAAAGTTTTGCCATCACTGATCCAGGCCAAGGTTGCGTTAGGAGGAGCAAATGGCAAGCCACTTCCTCAGGGACCAATCTGAAAGCTACTCTGGACCTGGAGGTTTTAGAGATTGGAAGGGGAGGGAAACCCTTCTAATATTACTCACAACCACAAGAGAAATACCCATAGCAGGAAAAGGGTAGGCTGGGGGTATCAGCAATTAACAGGGTGGCAGTTCCTACAGCCAGCCAGAGTTTATTCTGAGGTTTTGAGCAAGTGATCTCAAAGTACCTTTTCTCTCATTTGTAGAAGAGGTGGAAGAAATGTCCACAGATTACATAAATAGGTAGTCAGCTCTTCAGAATGAGAGCTGTTGATAGTACTACCAAGATCAAAAACAGGAGTAGATTAGAAACTAGAATCACCTGCTTCTCACGCTGCCAGCCATCAAAAAGTCAAGTATCAGATGTGTTAGGCCAATGACCTGCTTAAAGGAGACCTCTCACCAAACAAGTCACCTTTCATGTTTTCCTTTGTCCCAAGCAGAAGACTTGAAATGTGCCAAAGCCAAAGGACACCTGCTGCCCTGGAACCAGCTGGGCTGGAAGGTACCTTCCACAGAGAGGAGTGGGAGTTTTTTGCTTTGTCTGTTTTTGTTGCAAAGCAGCACTACAGGGTATTGATTTTCTACAGGAGAGGGCAGAGTAGGGGGCAAGTGGGGCATACATGTGTCAGGCTCAGTGTCTGCTCTTAGGAAGACGTGGAGAAATATGTCTGACCCCAGGCTTTGAGCTAAGCATTTTAACCCCTCCAAAACTCCCAGCCACCCCAGAAAGCTGTATCACCTTAGTGATTCAAGGAGGAAACAAGTCAGAAGAAAGTCCAAGGCAGCTGCTAAACAGATGGCCCAGACTGGCTCCAAATGGTGTTATGCTTGGCCCAAAGCCAAGGCACTTTCCCTGTCTGACGGGTTTGGCCTCTAGCCCTGCTGGCTGATGCTGCAGTAGAAATGGCTATGGTAGATGAGACAGCCTAGGGTTAGTGCCCTGGACTTCATTCTCCTAAAGGGTATTTGAACATTTGATTTGGAGGAAGAGCTTAAGGTACAAGGGTGGGTCTCATTTTATTCTCCAAGCTCACTGTGAGGGATCTCAGGCAAATGCAGGAGAAATGTACCACAAAGAGAATAACCATCTCCAAGGGCTGAGCTCAAGAAGAGCCTTGGGCAGGTGTGGCAGAGTCAAGTCCTGAAGGTGCTGCAACTGGTAATGGAGTGAAGAGGAGGAGGAAGCAAGGTGTCAGGCCATTTTTTACACAAGCAGAGTCAATGAGTTGGCCTGGAGAGATCTGAGCTCTAGTGTCTGCCCGTGTTCGAACCTGGCTCTGTGACTTAGCCGAAAACTTGCCTGTGCCTCATA